CCCAGGCGTGCCGCATTTCCCCTCCTACCCCTCCCTCCCTCCCAGGCTTGCCGCAAAACAGCTGATTCGCGCAGCAAGCCTGGGAGGGAGGGGAGAGAAGCGAAGCGGCGGCATGCTTGGGGGAGCAGGCAGCAGTGGAGAGGAGGTGAGCTGGGAGGGAGCGGTTCCTCTGCCCCCCACCCCCGGGTTACTTCCTGCGGCCCTCCCCGTGCCCCCCACCGCCGCAGCTCACCTCCGCTCAGGGCCGGCTCCCTGCTTTTTGCGCCCCAAGCAGGAAAAAAAAAAGGAGCCAGAGTGCCACCCCTTGGAAAGTGCCGCCCCAAGCACGTGCTTGGAGCACTGGTGCCTAGAGCCATCCCTGACTGCTGTAGGTATTTAAAGCTTCATTTCATTACTTCGGATACTGAGGATCTGTGGACTAGATACCTTCGCCACCTACATAAACAGAGGAGATCGCAAGAAAGCATGTCTCTTACCTGATATTGTGAGCTCTGGGGGGCAAATGTCTGGGGATGGAGAAGGCACAGGAAAGAGATTTTCTTGTCTAGTCTAAAAAACAAAACAAAATAGCACAGAGGACAAAATGCTGAGCCCAGTCTGCCAGTGTAAGTGAAAAGCAAAAGTAGGGGAAAGAGCTCAATAGGTCCCAGTTGCTCCCTAAGGAATCAGACTGAACCATCTCTTGCGTGAAGCACCATGTGAACCTATTGTGCTAGGGAGAGAGCATGAACAATGATGATGAACCAAACAAGAGTCCTGTTTTGGAGTAAAAGGGGATTGTGTCAATAATAGTCCCAGAGGCCCAGATCTTCAAAAGTTTTGTGCGCCTAACTCCCACATTCATTACTGTGGGATCTAAGAATCTCCCAGATGATTGCACACACAGGAGGCTAAACTGAAGTAACTTTACTGAGAGCAGTGGAATCACACCAAGGATGACCCGGCGTGTTGTAGCCACCGGGGTTTGTTTAAAATCCTACATATCCAAGACATCCATGGATTCTGAGGGAGTTTGGATCATCCTAGATGGGAGCAGTGATTTGAGCATTGGGCTGCTAAACTAAGGGTTGTGAGTTCAATTCTTGAGAGGGCCATTTAGGGATCTGGGGCAAAAATCTGTCTGGGGATTGGTCCCGCTTCAAACAGGGGGTTGGACTAGATGACCTCCTGAGGTCCCTTCCAATCCTGCTATTCTATGATCTTAAGGGCACCTCTAGTATTACCCAATGGACAGAAAGCAGAGCTATCTACAAGGACATGTTGGGATCAAATGCAGCAGGGACTCTCAACCTGGGGTCACAGAGCTGCAATCAGAATATTAAATGGGAAAGGGGTCCCAATTGGGTCTATGGTATGGAAAAGGGTGAGAACTGTGGAAATACAACACAACCAAAGCTAGGAGGTTACTTGGCAATGAATCAGTGCCCCATGCACAGTGATGACTGTTTACAAGCTCCTTCTATAACACTGGAGCTAGCCCTCACTGTAACCTGCCATGCTACATACTTAACCACATGACTCATTGATTTTGATGGGAGCTGCATGGCCAAATCTCCAAGTCACCTCTAGCTTCAGGAAATACAGTATAGTGCTGCGCCTCATGAGGAACGAGTGCTGACGGTACAGAATTTGATGGTTGTTGAATGTGGGCAGGTATTCACTGAGTTACTGTCACCAATTGCTTTTTTCACTTGTGACTTCTGAAAACAGGTTTGAACCAGGACTCTGGAGATGAAAACACATCTCAGCGACCTTCAAACGCATCACTTTAATTGACTGATCCTTTGTCACCCCAAACCAGAAGAAACAATATCTCAGATGTAAAATACCCAACTCCATATGAGAGCAAACAGAGCCAAACAAGTCCACACTGCTGACTTTCCAAACAGCTAATCCGGAAAGATTATCACAGAGTCCCTAAAAACAGTAATCCGATTGGAGATGGAAATCATGGGGTCAGCCTCTGTGGTCTTATACTGAACTTCAACGTACCTCAGGTGACCTCACATGGACTTTCAACCTGCAAGAGTTAAGACCATTCCCCATGGCCTTAGGAGGTGGCAATTGGATGCTGTTATGAACTGAGAGTCCAGGATGTAACCGTCCCCTTCCAGGAATAAAGGCCACTTCTGTGTTTCCCTCATGTCTGAAAATAACCAAGTTTTGTTAGTGCTTAAAAACTACACATGCTTAAGGTTTCAGAACTTTCACAGGAATAGCTCTGTGGTCTTTCCTCTGAGCTAAGCTCATTAATTGCCTGTGTAACACGCAACAATATTACAGCTGTCTTCATCAGAGAGGCTTCTTATGAGAGCCCAAGTTCTGTTGCAGAATTTTGGGAAGGTCTGTGTGATGGAACACACTCATTGCAAAGCAATACAAAGACTGACAGGTTGGGAAGGACGCCTGCCATTCCTGATTATGAAGTGAGAAGCTCCATGTACTCAAGACCTCCTGAAGTATGAAGGTCTCCAATATGGGAGGTTCTTCTTGCACCTTAAGCTTAGAACTATGTGCAGGTCTCCTACCTAACACTCAGCAGATATCACAAGATATGGCCTTTATTGACAATAATAGGAAATGCTTTTTGTACCCAAGGAACTTATTCGCCTGGGCTGCTGGTGCATGCCTACCTGAATTTGGTTTTTGCAAGTATTTTTCTGGCCTCTTCATATGTGCTGCCCACCAAAGAGTCTTTATTGATGGCAATTAGCTGATCACCAGGCCGAAGCCGCCCATCCTAAACGAGGGAGACATCTGTGTAGCATCAAGCTTTATCCACAAGGATTAGTTCATCAGAAAAAGAGTGACACTCTGCTCAAAGTATTCTCCTGCAATACACATCCTTATTACCCCACGCCATAGATTGTTCACCCATCCCAATAAGAGCTCCTTCCGAACAGCTGGAGCTTTCAGGAAAGACTCCTGTTTCATAGGTCACAGAAGCCCTCCATGCTGTTGACTTACTCTGTAACAGTCCCCGTCTGGCATAAGCTCTTGAACATAAATCATGGGACCCTCTGGCCTGTTAGATCCGCCACTGATTGTCAACCCCAACCCAGAGGATTTTGCTATGGAGATGCACTGAATCCCTGATTCAACGGAGTAGCTGCAAGGAACAGAAGAGTTAGCAGAAGACACAACAGTGGTCAGTTTTATTCTATAGAGTCATCGAGTACATCTGTAATTACACAGTAGAGTTCTAGCAAGTCACCACCACTGCTGAATGAAAAGTTCTACATTTGGTTTTGTTCCTAAATCTGCAATCTCCCTATCCTTCTCAACCTCTTCTCCCTCTGCCTCCTCTTTTCCTCCACTCTACCTGAAAATGGGAGTGCAGAAAACACTTATTAAAACCATTCTGAACCTCAAGAATACGTTCGATTTGAGTTTAGGACTAGAAACGGGTAAAGCTTCAGGTGCTTATAGGTGAGTGTGTGGGGGGGAGGAGTATTCACTACTTTTATGGGGATAAATGTTGTTACTGTTATTGTTGTTTATTTGTATTATGGTAGTTCTTAAGAACCCTAATTGAGGACCAGGGCTCATTGTGATCAGCACTGTCTGGACAAGTAATGAAGAAGAGATTCCCTACCCCAAACAGCTTACAATCTTCATGGTATGCAGCACACAACAGATGGATGAAACAGATCAGTGGGGTGGCAGTGGGATAGGCGGGGAGGGTAATAATAAAATGGAGTTCAGCAGAAAAGCCGAAGACATAGCCAGTTACTTGCCTAATCAATGCCAGGTGGGAATGATTTGTAGGCACGACAACAGAGGCAGGTTTGAGGGAGGGATTTAGACGTGAATACTGTGGGTAGGTTGGTAAATATTGCTAGGGAGTTTTCCCTATGCGTGGGGGTCAGCATGGGACAAAGCGTGGAGGTGCTGGAGCAGTAGGAAAGGCTGCCATTACTGGAAGAGCAACAGTGGGCATCAACCACTTGATAAGGCCACTCATCCTTAGTAAATAAAGGCGGTAACTAACTGGTTCTCTCTCTTCTAAGATAAAGTCTTCTAACCACATCCATATAATAACCTGTAAGCAATCTGTCACATGAATGATCTTTTAATTTCCTGATAGCTCACAATACAATACGATGACTATGTGATCTGTTGAACTATGCAATCACCACAAGAGATAACAACTTCTCCATACTTCTAAACAGCCCCATCCCTTTAAACTCGTGGCTGTCATACAACCTGGGGAACACAGAATATTGCGAAGAGTGTGGGCGTGTCATATTTTTATAACAAAGGAAACTTCTAAAAGAAATCTTTTCAGGAAATAAGATGCCATAGAACATAGTGGTTAAAAAAAAGCACATCCGTTGCACTATCTGGGAAGAGATGAGGAAGAGAATAAACCATACATTGCAGATGTTAGTCCTATTGCTTAGTGCACAGCTGGAAGATGTCCAGCTGCCGGGGTGATGAGTGCAGCATAAGGGCCTGTACAGAATAGGAGGAGTCACTACTTTGTAAGATCAAGATTATACCATAGATAGTTGCACACATGCTCATAATCTCCAAGATCTGAGATTTCAAGTGGTCTGAATGCTGGTGTTTCTTATAGGTGGCTATTTCATGCCTGCCTACCCTCTTCTACATCCCTCAAAAAGAAGAAGAGGAGGACTTGTGGCACCTTAGAGACTAACAAATTTATTAGAGCATAAGCTTTCGTGGACTACAGCCCACTTCTTCAGATGCATATAGAATGGAACATATATTGAGGAGATATATATACACACATACAGAGAGCATAAACAGGTGGGAGTTGTCTTACCACCTCTGAGAGGCCAATTAATTAAGAGAAAAAAAACTTTTGAAGTGATAATCAAGCTAGCCCAGTACAGACAGTTAGATAACAATTGTGAGAATACTTACAAGGGGAGATAGATTCAATGTTTGTAATGGCTCAACCATTCCCAGTCCTTATTCAAACCGGAGTTGATTGTGTCTAGTTTGCATAACACGGCTGCTACTCTGAAACCTTACATCCCTCAAGTGGAGATAGGGTGACCAAATAGCAAGTGTGAAAAATCGGGACAAGGGATAATAGGCATCTATATAAGACAAAGCCCCATATATGGGGACTGTCCCTATAAAATCAGGACATCTGGTCACCCTAGGTGGAGACTAGCAGAACTTTTGCTTTATCGGTCGCTGAACACTGTTTTACTGGACACCTCCATCATGCACATACGTGAGTACCAAACCAGGTCACCTCCTGTCTATGCTGTGCGGTAAACAGGGTTACTTGTGGAGCGAGGCGGTCTAGATGGCTGCCAAATAGATGAGCAGTTCTCTCCTCTGTATGGATGTCTCCAGGCATGAGTCCGTTTATGCAAGCAGCTTAAAGCCTTCTGTGCCAAATATTTGTCCTCTGCAGATCCCTAATAAAGAGCTGATATTGGGCACATTGTGGAGTTCACCTGCTAAGTGGATTTTCTGTGTCTGAACTAAGGGGCTGGTTTTCCTCTCATGGGGGTGGGTGGCCACTCCAGTCATGGGAATTACCCCTGATTTACACTAGCGCAAGGAAGAAAAGCAGCAGGGCCTAATCTGAGATGCCACACTCAAAGTACCAATGTTAATGCAAACCTTAACGGTGCCAGTCACTCCTATAGGTGGAGCCGGCAGCAGAGCCCTCCCTGCACATAGCAGACCCTGGTTTTTGTACTTTACAAAATAGGAAGCTTGGAACTAAAACATATAGACACAACACAAAGTGCCACACTCCATAGAAATAAAAAGCCTGGTTCTCCATTCCCTAGCCCCTTGTGCAGCCATTTCCTCTCCCTCCCCCCAGCGCAGAGCAGGTGTGAAATGCTGCCAGGTCAGAAGGGTAGCACTGCCATTGATTTTGCACTGGTGGAAATGTCTGCCCGAGGGTGGGGCAATGGATCATGAGGCCATGATCTGCCGAAAACAGCCGTAGCCTTGCAGGCCGTCTCCACCAAGGGCATGTTTGTAAAAGACGTGCCATGTTGGCCTCTCAGACATCTGTAAGCCTTGGGCTCTCCCTCACCTTTAAAGGGATGCAAATGGAGTACGTGCAGTCTGTAGGTCCCTCCTGCCTATAGCACAGTAGGCTAAGTTTTCTGGGGCGGTGGCTGTGCTCTGTGTTTGCACAATGGGGTCCTGGTCCATGACTGGGGTTCCTAGGGGCTACCGTAATACAAGTGATAAATAATAATATTAAAAACAACATAGAGTGCGACAGTATGAAAGACACCAAATGACTGCTTATCCATCCTCCAGTACATGAGCAGATACAGTCAATGTATCCAAAGACAATACTGGGGCCTGATCTGCACTAGAAAATTAAGTTGGTTTAACTCTGTCGGTCAGCGGTGTGAAAAATACACGCCCCTGAGCACTGTGCTTAAACTGTCCTAAGTCCCCGTGTACACAATGCTAGGTCGACAGAAGAATTCTTCTGTCAACCTAGCTACTGCCTCTGGGGGAGGTGGATTCCCTACGCCAATGGGAGAACCCTCCCATCCCGGTAGGTAGCGTCTATGCTGAAGCGCTGCAGTGGCGCAGCTGTGCTCCTGGAGCATTCTAAGCGCAGACAAGTCCTGAATATTAGAGGATAGTTTTAAAGAGAAAGAGGGAAAGAGAGAAGGCGACTATCGATCTGGGGTTCTTCAATTTTGAGGAGCCCAAGTTGAGACCTCTTTAAAGGGCCTGATTTTTAGAGGGCGGGAGCGCTGCACTTTATGAAAATAAGGCCCTTTCAGGTGTCTCAGGTTGTGCCCCCCAAACCACTAGATGGCTTTGAGAGACAAGGTGGGTGAGGTAATATCTTTTATTGGGCCAACTTCTGTTGGTGAGAAAGAGAAGCTTTTGAGCCACACGCAGAGCTCTTCTTCAGGTCTGTGTAGCTCAAAAGCTTGTCTCTCTCACCAACAGAAGTTGGTCTAATAAAAGATATTACCTCACCCAAATATCCTGGGACCAACACGGCTACAGCTACACTGCATAGACAACTTTGACACTTTTTTGGCAATGGGGCCCTCTCGAGGTCTATAAGCACTACAGCAATACAAATAATGTTCTAGAAACAGACAGACAAGCCTGCAGACTTTATGAGTTGATGCCTGTGTAACTTAGAGCCGGTTTCCTTGTCCCATTAATATTTTTGAGAGTTTTAAATTTCTTACCATTCAAAATTGGGACAAAAAGTCCAAATTTCAAAAAATTTCATGAATCAAAGTACCAAAAAGTTTTTAGTTTGGGTCAATTGAAACATGTAATTTCAAAATTCTTCAATTTGATTTCTACCTTTTTTCTTTTTAAAAAACTTTCAAAATCTAAATCGCTTAAATTTCACAATGAAAAGTCATTTTGAACTGGGAAACAGAATTTTTCATTTAGAAAGTGGCCAAAAAATACATTTTGACAATTTCAGAGTTTTCCAACATATTTTTCCAACATTGTGAGATTGATTGGTTTTGCTGTCGACAAATCAGAATTTTCCAATGAAAAAAAAATGTAACTGAAAAATTCCTAAAGAGCTCTAGTGTTGAGTAATATGGTACATACTGTGAGCTTGAGTGTGGGGAATGAGCCGAGTTTCCAATGAGTGGGCCATGAGAATTTGCAGGGCTCAGCAGCAGAGGACTCTGGGAACGTGACGAAGACCCCGAGGATGTACTTTCCAAATATCTACCTAAAGGACAAAATAAGACAGTCCAGATAATGAAAGTATTTTCCCCCCTTACTCCTTCCCAGCTGTCCCTGCTACATAATCAAGAATTAAAACAGCTTTCATGGTTCTTTACCTGGAGGCAGAAATACCTACCATTGACGTTAATGATATCAGTATATTTCTAAACTAATTAACAGAGTTTTACCTTCTCACCACAAATTCCAACCTGTGATTGTGGTAATTAACAACAAATACCACCATGTTACAGTGTCACATGCTTCTTCCCAAAAAGACGCAGCGGAGTGCTCCAGCAAGCAAACGACTGAACTAGTAGCCAGGAGACCTGGGTTCTAGTCCGACCTCTGCCACTGACTTCTTGTGTTGGTCACTGAATTGAACAAGCCACTTCAGTGCTCTTGCCTCAGTTTCAAAAGGTGTAAAATGGGGACAGTAGTACTCACCCTCTTTCTAAAACACTTTGAGGTCCACTGTTGAAAATTGCTTTACAAGAACTAGGCGTTATTATAAGTTACTAGCACAATATTTTCCTTAGTTGTTGCACATTGAAGGTGGAGTTAAGGGAGCTGGAGAAGTGTTAGATACCAACTAATCCTCTCTTGTTTCACTCAAGGAAATTGTCTCTCTCTCTCTCTTTTAGTATCCATGATTGGGCTGACATTTTCTGCACTGTGCCCCTCAAGCAGCCAAGATGCAGTTCAGCATCCAGAGGGTCAATACTCACTGCCGCCGTGGTGAACAGGAGAACTCCGTGCCGATTCTGTGTTGCTATGAGATCCAAACTTTTCCAGCAGCTCAGAGAACTCTCTCCTGAAAGACAAGGCCCAGCAGATTCACTTAGTCTCTCAGTACACTTCTGCATGGATTTACAATGCAAACAAGGCCTATAATGTTTATTCCATACTAACCAGTTTGTGGGCTTAATTCCCTCGCGCGCTGGAACTCAGCTTGGGGCAGGGTGAGGCATTAGGAACCAGATACAGCTCACAGGTAGTCCCAATGTAAATCAGAGCAGTTTCCAAGCAACTCAAGCTTGTGCTGCTGATTTAGAATCCATAATCAAACTCACACCAGTAGAAAATCCTTTTGGTAAAGCGGAACTTTTGCATGCCCCATACTGTGTGTTAGGGGGTTGGAGGCAGAGGCCGGCTGCAGTGCAGATGCATCAGCAGTGAATTCCCTACACCGGAGGAATTCTCTGCTTCGGATTTGCAGCTGAATTATGGCCCCTTCTATGCCCCTTTTCATCCCACAGTCTTCAAGCATTTCATGAATGTTAATAAAGCTTCCTGACATCCCTCTCAGGTATTACTCACGCAGTAACACAGACTGGTAAATTGAAGCGCAAAGTAGTTGTGTATTTTGTCCATTGTGAGGGATGAGGCTAGAACCCATGAGTCCTGGCACCCAGCCCTGGGCTTTAACCATTGGGTCAGAATGCCTCTTGTGGACTAGCCCAGGATAATTCCATCTCCAACCATCAGCCTAATTTGACATACAAGTTGAACACTGACTATTAAGGGGAGTTGTAACTAAGCAAAAAAAAAAAATTTTTAATACACATTGGCCATCTGTGGGTCTTTTCATAATAGTAAAAGAAATGCAAATAACTGTCAAATATACCAGCTCAAATTGTGAAATTATCATCCTTGGAATTGTGGCTATTTTACATGTTTTCAAACCACCCCCCTTGACTACCCTGCTGTAATTCATACATAGAGAGGAGGAAGCTTAAAGCCAACAATTTAACTTAAAAGAACAAGTTGTGAGCATGATACAGATGGTGGGTAACACTTAGGGATTATAGACAGGGCATTAGAATGTGGGGGCCAAAATATTATGGGATGGGACTCTTCCATTCAGTTTCGGGCACCAAGTTGTTTACCTGCCTATAGTAATAAATGTAGTAAATCCTATTTGTTATGTTCATGGCATACAAACAGAGAAGTGAAATAAACAACATAAGATAAACTGCAACCTTCTGTCAAGAGTAACTGCTTTATTTTTCAGAATTCAGAATGATAACCCAAAAGCAGAGAGAGACAAAACAGCCTGCTCCCTGAAACAGAGAGGCCCAACTCACCTCACCTTATTCTAGACTGACTGTTTCCCTACAGAGCCCCATGGCCTAAAAGCAGGACCAGGAATACCCCTCCCCACCTAAAAAGGATAGCTTGCAAGTCTAACACAGTCTTCAAAATGCCACATCGCTCATCAAGCATCAGAAAAATATTCATTATTTTAAAAATTCTCCTACTGCAGTTGCTGCTGTTGGTCTGTTACCTCCCATTTTGCTATCAAAAGCTCCTCTTTTTGATCACTAGCGATAAAGGCCAATGCAACAGGGGGGGAAACCAGAACCTATTCCACAAATGGCACTAAGACTGACATAGTTTTTTAAATGGGAGGATTAGATACCGGGGAGGAGGAGAAGTGAGAGACAACAGAGGGAGAAAGGTGAAGAAAATCAGAGGTGACTTGGACCCAAATATCTCCAGACTTTAGGGGAGTTCTAGCTCAGATCTGGATCCCACATTGTGGCTTGTACCCACTTCTAAAGAAAATAAATACGGACAATGGTGGGAAAAAGGGAGTGGGCCCGTTATTCTCCTTTCCTCTCCTTGCCTCTTTCTCCACCAATGGTGTCCCTTCAGCCTGCACAGCTCAGACAGGAGTCTGTTGGTGAGCATCTGGTACTTATGCTGCTGCTGAGGTGTGACAGAATGGATACTTGCCATCAAGTAAGGTGGCATTCCACTCCCCACTTTCACATTAGAGACACCAGGGTGCTGCCCAAGGAGGACCAGAGGCTAGTCCCTTTTGAGTCCATCAATGGCACCTGTAATTGTCTAGAGCAGTTGTTACGGAACAATTGTAAGCTCAGGCTATACTCCTGGTAAGTGCTGGCCTGGGAACTGAGATATCAAGCCCAGGAAAGCAGAGCTCTCCAGAAGGCCACGGGGCCAACCTCAGAGAGGTGACAAGCGCACACATCAAGGCAGGTTGATGGGAAAGATACATGGCAGCTGATGAGAGAACAGCATTTTCTCAGGCGGTGGCTCCTTACAACACAGCAGCTATCAGAGTGAGCATCAATTTCCATCAACTCTGTTGGGACAAATCTCACTTTAATATCATTTCCAGTAAAACCCTTCATCTTCCCATCGCTCGCTCATAATCCCGTATCACTGCTGAGTTATGCCTCGACGAAAGCCAGGCTGCAGCTGAGACTCTGTGAGCCTTCCATTCGCTGTCTCCTCCTTTTCCTGGGCGGGACTCTTCACTCCCCCTTTAGCTCGCTCCTTTACTGCATGGACTAGCAACCCCAGGGCATACCCACGTCCCCAACAGGCTTGTGCACAGGCAGCTAGCTTACGCTGAAGCCCATATTACCGCATCTTCACTGCTCTTGTCCCCACACTGGATAGGTTAAAGCTAGCAAGCTACAGTCAGATCTTGGTTTGCTGTGTAGGTGTACCCATTGTCTCTCCCATCCCACGCCTAACTCCACAGCCTAGTGCAGCTAGAGCTACAGGTTTCCTGTGATTTTGGGTTGTTGCATTTAAAGCATTCCCATTCTGAACTATCTCAACCTCAGTAGTAACATGGCTGTCACAGGGGAGCTGGTCCTCTGAGTAGACCAGGCCCAGCTCCACTGTGTCAGAGCAGGTGGGACCAACCGAGCCAATTAAAAGAGGTGGGCTAAAAAGGCTTGTCAGAGGGTAGACTCTGTCTTGGGCGAGGAACCACAGAGGAGTGGAGCTAAGTCTGGTGGTGGGTCCCTGGAACAAGGGTCCAGCTGCTCAGGGAGGTAGCCCTCAGGCTGGGGTCCCAAAAGGGGAGCAGAGCTGGCTCTGGAGAAGGGAGCTGGCTGGAACAAGGAAGCTGCAAGAAGCAGGATTACCAGAGACCCCTGGGAGAGGAGGCTGGGAAACCCTAGGACAAAGGGTGAGCTAAGGAGCTGATTTTGTCTATTAGCTGCTTATGTTTGGACAAATAAACCTTTTTAAAGCAGACTGAGGATGGCAGAGAGTGCTTGTGAAGCTGGGGAGACACCCTGCCAGGTCACAGTGGCCTTGTACACGACTATTGTTACTGATTTGGAATCGGCCAAGTCAGGACACTGGCACTAAGGCGGGCTCAATGCAATTCCCCATTAGATCTGGGGAAAACACTGCAACTGTGAGCAAATGGTCGGATCTTTACGAAAAATCTCTGAAATCATGTGAGTTTTCACTCAAAAGAGACCATCTTTCAGTGAAAACCAGCAAATGGGCTACTTCCTTTTGTTCCTTCTTTTTTTAAGGTTCCAGCTTTGAAACTTCAAAATGCAAAATGTTATTCTGATGAAGAAGAGTTCAAGAGAGAAGAAGAGAAAGTGAAACAGGTGAACTCTCAAAACTGTATTTGTTGCAGTGCAAAAATCCCATGCGAGAAATGGAGCAAAGCCTTTAAAACCTCTCAAAATGAAACAATGACAGATTCTTCCCTCGTCTCCAACCCCCAAAATATTTTAAGTCAGTTTTGCACCACCTTAATTCTCACAACCGAGGAGGTTTGGTCATAGCTCTAGCAACCAACTCAACAAGCCATTTGCTCAGCAGTCTCTAACTACTGGAGTTATTGACTGAATGGATCGTGATTCACTGGACACCTGCAGTTACAGGACTGGATTCTGCAAAAAATTATGCATGAGTAACTTCCTCAGGGTAGTAGCTCTATTGTTTTCAATTAAATTGACTCACACACGTGACTATTTGTAGGACTGAGCTGTTTTTTCAGGCTGCTGGGTGAGATCTGGTGAGCAGCCTCCCTTACTTTCTGAATCATGGGTGTTAGGATCTAATGCACTGAATTTTGATCAGTGTTGTAATGCGAGTTAATTTCCAGTGATTATTTAGCTAGAGAAAGCTGGTTCACTGTACTCGTCTGTATTTACATATTCCCCTCAATTGTACTTAGAGCCTCAGGGATCCATTTATTGGAAAAAATAATACCATTTCCACAGTAGTTCAATCAATGGAATATGACCAGATGAGCAGATCTCATTATTTTAGCCCTACCCCACAAACAAATTTACGTGCTGGCAAACTATTTGTGACATATAATCCTATTTTTGATTTTAGCCCTTTTTCCAATTAACAAATCCCAAGCTCTGTGAAGATAAGCCATTATGTGCCCAATAGTTTGGATGAATAATTTTCAGCCTGTAAACTGTTTGCAAACCATCCACTCCAATCTGTTGCTATTGGCGTGAGATGACCGAACACCTAAGTCACATGGTATTGTCTGGGCTCCTTGCTCGGAGAACAGCTATTGCAGGCCTCAATTCAGCAAAGCATTTAAGCACATGCTTAAAATCCCATTGAGGTAAATAATCAACAGCAAGTAATGCATTTTCTGGTATGACTCTTCAGACAGATGATTTTGTGCTAAACTTCATGACGCTTGGGAGATTTGCAAGTGCACAGATATTGTCCGCATACTGACTAATGAATAATCTGACTCCAGGAATCCAAGCCAACCTTGCTCAGTGCCTTCAGGCACAAATAGGTTAAAATAATATATATATATATATATATATATCTTCAATTTTTTTAGTTTGATTTACTGTTTGCCCAGCTCTAGTATGAAAATACTTAATCTTATCAGGTTCCGGTGGAACTTAAATGTCCAGCCTTATTTAACTAACAGAGGGCTGAAATAGGGGGACTTTCCCTTTAATAATGTACTCCCAGCCCAACCCCTCCCCCTCCACCCTTTTTCACCAAGGATACTAAAATCTAGGATAACAGAAGTGTCCTTGTTAC